TTCTTACATGGCCAATCATCACTTTGGGGTCAGGAAGCAATTTTCTCCAGGCCAGTTTGGCCAGGGATCCTAGAGAGATTTTTTTGCCATCTTCTGGGCATGGTGCGGGGGGGAGGGATTTGTGAATTTCCTGCATTGTGCAGTGGGTTAGACTAGATGACCCTGGAGTTCCCTTCCAACTCTATGATTCTATGATTCCTTTGAAACATGGTGTTGGAGGAGGGTTTTATGGATATTGTGGACCACCAAAAAGACAAATAAGTGTGTTATAGACCAAATCAAGCTTGAATTCTCCATAGAAGCCAAAATGACCAAACCGAGGCTATCGTACTTTGGTCACATTATGAGAAGACAAGAGTCACTGGAAAAAGACTATCTAGGAAAAGCTGAAGGCAGCAGTCATAAAGGAAGACCCAACATAAGACGGGTGGAAGCTGCGGCCTTCAGTCTGCAATACCTGAGCAGGGCTGTTAAGGACAGGATGTTTTGGAAGCCGTTAATTCACAGGGTCTCCCTAAGTCAGAAGTGACTTCTCAGCACTTAACACATACGCAAAAGCAGGACTATTTTTGGGCAGGAACGCACAGGAACGGAGTTCCGGCTGGCTCCTGAGTTGGCCACACCCAGCAGGAACTCATTAGCATAATAGGCCACACCCAACATCAGAAACTCATTAGGATTGGCTACATTAGGGGTGTGTGGCCTAACATGCAAAGGAGTTGCTGCTACAAAAAAAGCCCTGGGTTTTGACAACAAACAAGGTAAACAGAATGAGAAGCAAAAGGTGGGTGTGGCTGGATGACCACACTTCTGGTAACATGGGGGTGTGGCCTAATGTGCTAATGAGCGGTGCTGTCAGGGTGTGGCCTAATATGCTAATGAGTTTTGCTGTTCGGTGTGGCCTATTATCCTAATGAGTTGCTGCTTGGCTTTTTCTACAAAAAGAGCCCTGCGCAAAAGCATGCCAACGAGTTTGTGGTTTTTCTTAGAACAGCAAAGAAACACTGGAAACAGAAAAACCTTACTTCATTCTTGGCTTTTGATTTCCCCCTCTGCCAGACAGGTAAGATGCCGGTGTTTTTAAACAGAGGTACCTAGTGACACTCTATAGAGGTGAAAAATAAAGGTGCGAGAGATTGGTATGGTTTGTGTGTGTGTTTTATCCAGCCCGCCTTCCCTGGCTGCAGTTCTGCAATATGAAACCCTGAAATAAGGCATCAACCAGTTCCTGTTGTTTTTTTTAAATTAAATATAAATATTTGAGTTCAGCAGTAGGCAATACATTTACAATTTCCCCTCTGGTTTTTTTTTTTTATGTATCTAAAGCACAACATACTCAGACAGGCATGATCATAGCGTGCCACACTGTGAAATCCCATTCTAAAGGAAAAAAATGCAGAACAAAAATAATATACAGTGAGATTCTGGAAAGATAAGAACATAGAACTCAAAACATTCACAGCAGGGAAATACATTTAAGGCAAAAGGAATAACTTATTATTTTTTTTAAAAAAGAGAGAGAAAGATATAAACCTATCCCATCTGCTTTTGGCTTCATATTTCCTTCCGGGCTCCGCCCCTGGGCTTTATGGTTGGATTTACTTTAGAGTTTGTACCCTGGGAGTCCTTTCAGGTCTCAGCATAGTGAAATGGCATAAGTTGTTGAACACCAGCGCCACCCGCTGGTCAGATGAGTTCACTGCGGGCTAATGAAGAGCAGATCTTCGAACCGATGTTATTTTCGTGCCTTTGTACTGGAACTGGGGTCTGGGTTTTCAGACACTGGGGGGCGTGGGGCGTATAGAGTTGCATTTGTATTTATCCACAGGTGCGCCCACTCAAGAGGGGAAGAGGGAATAATTTAACCACAGCATCAAGCCAGGAAAAAAGTAAAATGCAAGCATTATTGCCCATGCGTAGAGATTTCCCAGAATCATGCGACTGCAGTAAGGTCTAAAATCAAGCCTTTGCGGCAGTGGATTGTCCTTTGGGCGACCCTCGTTGTAGAGCTAGACTGAACGTCACATAGCCCTGTTGCTGAAGCAGTTATAGCACCATCTTTTCATCAGTTTTCAATGTCCTGGCCCACGGGCTTCTCAGGTTTTCCTCCAATGGCCAGCACTACCCACCATTTTAAATCTAGGTTCTGACAGGCCAAGTTATCCCACAATCCACCACAGCCTATTCCCACATTCAGCAGAAGATGTGCCCTTCCTTGTTCACTGTGTCCTGACACGAGGAGGCCGGCACTGGTGTCCTCACAGTCACAGAAAGATGGGCCGGGCTCCAGTTGAAGATAACAAGCCGGCCATTGGCCATCTTGGCTGCAACTTGGCAGCTGTGGGTTACTAAGCCGGCTGTTTGCCATCTTCCCCAGATGGTGAGAACTGTGTCCTCAGCTCATGTCTGGGACACCCAGTCTGTTGCCTGGTCCTTTGGAGTCCGTCAGCCAAAGCGAGCGTCTGTTCCTTTTTTTTTGCGACCTCTGAAGATGGTCAGAATTTGGCAGGGTCAGGCAGGAGTCATACGTGGGTCTGCATGCGCTGGTGGGAAGGGCGCCCGTAGTCAGACTGCTGACACAAGGAGGTATATGAGAAGCGCGAACAGCCCGAGGCCTTGCTGGCCTGGTCCGACGGCTCGTACCCGCTCTCGGCCTTCTCGTAGTTGCTGGGCTTGACGTAACTCGTGAAGGCCCGGCTGTAGGGGGCGGTGAGGTAGGTGCTCCCACTGTACATATTTTCCTGAGGGAAGAGTCGTTCGTGGGGGTCATAGGCTGAGCGGGAGCCAGGTGTGCCCAAGGTGTAGTGGTGAGCGTATTCATACAGCTTTGGTTGTACCGGCCCAGCTGAAGGGTACAAAGAAGAGGCCCCAAACAGAGGGCGGGGGGCTGGTGTGTATTCTGAGAAGCTGCTCCCCAAGCACGGCTCCTCGTGTGCGCGGACTTTATAGTATCCATTAGTAGGATCCTGTGGGGAAAAAGACAATGTAAATGCCAGTGAAGTGAATTCAAGGGGTGGATAAAAACCCCAACATTTCACGATTGGTCCCAATAGCCCATGGCGGCCATTTTCTGGTAGGCTCCGGCCCTCCATGGCAGCCATTTTGTGGTGGTGTCCATTTCCTGTTCTCAAAATTCTAAAAGCGCCTCAGGCTTGACAGGATTGGGGACCTCTGAAGTAAACATTTACTTCAGTCCTCAGTGGGGCAGATGCTGCACCGCCTCCCAGAGTCCCACCTGACCTCACCTTCAGCTCCTGGCTCCCTTCATCATCTTCCAGGATTTCACTGTGCTCTGTGTGAGATGTTGCTGGAGATTCGCTGCTAGTGGCCTGGAGAGAGACGAAGGGTGAGGGGTGAGCCTGGTATAGGAGATTCCCTGGTTCCAGCTTCAGCTCTTTGGGTCCCTTCGTCGTAAGTATGGGTGACGGGGGCTTTCCCAAAGGACTGTACCATTGCTAAACATAGAAAAAAACATGGTGGGGTTAGGAAAGGGCTGCTTTCTGTCACAACAGCTCAAAAGAACCTCCGTGTCCCATAGCAGTATACCTCTAAATAACACACATACAATGAGGGGAAGGCTGTGGCCCGTATGTCCTGCTCAGAAACAGGATGCTGGGCTAGACGGATTCGCAACTCTTGATTCAACAGAGCTCTTTATGCTAAGGCGGCACTTGGCGGTGAATCCGGCAGACGTGAGGTTTGTCGGCAGGTCAGGGAAGCCCGTGGGGTCCCGTTAAGGGCCACTATGGGCACTCGGAGGCATTGGCCCTACTCACCATGGGCTCTTTGCTGTCATCTTCCGTCTCGCTCGGCCGGCTGGGGCTGCTCTCGCTGGTCGTGATCTGCACCAGGATGTCGGCCTTGGAGAGCTGCGTTCCCCGCTTGGCTGCAGGACAGACAGACGAAAAGACTGAGCTAGAGGTGCAAACGGGCTTATGTGATCTGTCTCCACGCTCCCATTTTGTGAGATAGGGTTAGGCGGAGCATGTGTGAGCGGCCCACAGTCATTTAGTGGGCTTCCATAGCTGAGTCGGGATTTGAACACGGGTCTCCTAGATTCTAGGTGCTATGGTGCTCGCAGACACCTTTCCCGGCACCCACCGAGTGTTTTTAGAAAGTAGGTGGGGCTCCTGCCCAGCAGGGCTTCTCATTGGCCACTGGAGATTAGATTGGCGGTACCGATTTTTAAAAATGTTGCTTCGGCAGTGGCTGCCACCACAGCCCAAGGATCTTCACTGTGTGACTGAGGGTAAACGTATGGTTGCCAGGTCTCTTCTTACCTGCAGTGGGGGGCTCCTGGCTCCTTGTCGTGATTTTTACCACAGAGCCCCTCCTCCGAATGCTAGAGCGTTGCCGCGTGACAGCCCCGATGTGATGACGTCACTACCGGTGACGTCATTGTGTCAGTGGCGTGCCCATGGGATGCTGCTGTTTGGGGGTGGGGCTTCCCCCACCAGCCAGCTGTGGATTGTGGCCCCCAAAATCAGGGGGATCCCCTGGCCCCACCAGGGGGATGGCAACCCTAGGTAAGCTGTGGCAGCCACTGTATGGCTGGTTCCCCCCTTCCTGTGACAGTCCTTTCGTGGCAGCCGTTTTGTGGAAGTGCCTGCCATGCTGTGTCCGAATGCCTAGTTCGCCTAGTGAGCGAGCTGTTGGGGAGGGGGCATCATGCCCGTGACGTGGTGATGTCATTAGTGACGTCACCCTGCAATGAGTCTCCTTCCAGCCAAGCAGGAAGCACCAGGTAGAGCCGCCAAGGCGGGCCATGGCGCACTGGGGGTGGGTGGGGCTCCGGCACCCTCCTGGGGAGGGCTGGGGGGGGTCCTCAGTGAGGGGCACTGCCCCCACAAAGCCTCCCCCTGCTATGGGCCTCTGGTCACCACCAAACTCTAGGTGGGGCCTGGTGATCTCCCAAAATTGCAACTGATGGCAACAGAGGCCAGTTCCCCTGGAGTCTTGGAGGGTGGATTCTATGTCCTTATACTCTGCGGAGGTGCCTCCCCTCCCCTCCCCAAACCCCGCCCTCTCCAGGCTCTGCCCCCAACCCTGCGGGGAGGAGGGGGCAGGGGAACCCTCACCTTTCCCACAGCGCTTGCGCCGGTAGCAGAGAGAGACGGTTACCACCAGAAGCAGAAGGCCGAGGACGCCAGAGGACGCCAAAACCCCCAAGATGAGGACTGACAGGACTTCTGGAGGGAGAATTCCTTATTTTAATAACAGTTTCAGCCAGCCATGTTTTAAAATTAAACGAACCAGACCTATAACTGTCAGATCAAAACAAAAGGATGGATAAAAAGATACCCACCACCATAAAACAAACACCATCAATTAAAGAGGGAGAGAGAGAGAGAGAGAGAGACCCCCCCCCCACAATCAAATAAAAACAAAGTTCATGTTCAGAGGGAAATTGAGAGAAAGGCAGTGTGGGGTAGTGGCTAAAGAGCAGGCCCAAGACTAGGGAGATGGGGGTTCATATCTAGCCTCAGCCACAACCCTTACTAGGTGACCTTGGGCCAGTCTCTCAGCCTAGCCTACCTCACAGGGGTGTTGTGAGGACAGAACAACATATGCAGCCCTGAACTTCTTGGAAGCAGGATTTAAAAAACAGAGTGAGAGGTGACAAAAGGGATTTTGTTAACACTACCAACAACAAAAAAAGGATTAAATTGTCGGCGAGCAATAAAAAGTGATACTGGGAGGGCATAAGGTGGAACAGCACAAAGAGAGTTTTACTGTATGCCACTTACCTGTATGTTTTTCCCCGGTGGGGGTAAAAGCATCTGGGGGCATTGTCAGTGGGGAAAAAAAGTGCAAAGGGAAAGGGGTTAAGGATCCCCTCTTCTCGTGGGTTGCTTTTCATTTATTAAAACACTCGTCAGCCAACTGGCCCCGACGAGACTCAAGGCGGTATACAAAATGCAAAGCGCCGCACAGAAATACGACGCACAGAACCCATCAAAGACACAGACGGTCACAGCAATCTGACAGATACGCAGGTTTTAGAGTTGCCATCCTCCAGGTGGAGCCTGGAGAGCCTCCAGAATTACAGTTGATCTCCGGGCCACGGAGGCCAGCTCCCTTGGACAAAAGGGCTGCTTCGGAGTGTGGACTCCACGGCATTATGCCCTGCTGAGGTCCCTCCCCTCCTCCAACACTCCCCCCCAAGCTCCCCCCCCAAACCTCCAGGAATTTCCCAACCCAGAGTTGGCAACCCGACCAGATGTAGGGACCCTCAGAAGCTCTCTTAAGCACAGTCCTTTTACGGCCCCTCCCTGAAAGGAATCGAAGGCTGCTCCAGAGTGGTAGAACAGTGACTGAAAATGCCTCAGATCAGATCGATGCTTTATTCACCTCCCTAAATGAAGGTAATGCTAGGGAAAAAATTGCCTGGCAGAATGCCTGCTGGGTATATATTGAAATAGGCGCTCCTTGTGGATACGTGGGCCTCGGTTTATTTTGCCTTCAAATTACATCAGCTGTCGGTTGTATGGCATATAAAGGTAAAGGTTCCCTTGCTCGAAAGCCAGTCAAATCCGACTCTAGGGTTGCGGTGCTCATCTCCATTTCAGAGCCGAAGAGCCAGCGCTGTCCGAAGACATTTCCATGGTCATGTGGCTGGCATAACTAAACACCAAGGCGCACGGAATGCTGTTACCTTCCCACTGAAGTGGTACCTATCTATCTACTTGCAATTTCTTGCTTTCGAACTGCTAGGCTGGCAGGAGTGTATGGCATATAAATACAGGCAAAAGTCCCCGCAAAGAAGCCGGGGTCTACACACCAAATGTGGTTTTGCCTCAAGCAAACTGTGACTCTAGATTACCTCCATGAAGTACAAGTTGGAACCAAACTTCCCTGCAAGTCTCTGGTTTACAGACTTAGGTAAACCCTAACGACTTTCGATTTTATTATTTGTTATTGTTTTATTTTTCTGTGATATCGACCCACAGTCCTTTCTCCAGGGAGCTCAGAAGAGCGTGTGAGGGTTTAGGTCATTTTTATCCTCACAACAACCCTGTGAGGTAGGTCACACCAACAGAAAGTGAGAGAGAGAGAGGAAGCGAAGATTGGATTTATACCCCGCCCTTCACTACCCAAAGGAATCTCAGAGGGGCTTATATTTCCTTTCCCTTCCCCTCCCCACAACAGACACCCTGTGAAGTAGGTAGGGCTGAGAGAGCTCTTTCAAGACTGCTCATGAGAGAACAGCTTTGAAAGAACTTATGACTGACCCAAGATCACACCAGCAGCTGCATGTGGAGGAGTCTGGAATCAAACCCGGTTCTCCCAGATTAGAGTCCGTGCTCCTAACCACTACACCAAACTGGAGAGAGAGAGAGAGAGAGAGAGAGAGAAGAGAGGAGAGAGTGCTTTCCAGCTAAGCAAGGATATGGACTCTACCTCTCTGCTCCATGTTTCAACCTAACCAGCTCCCATATTAAGGGCGTTTCCGGCTGTTAAAAGAGAGCCTCACCTTGGCGGCGCAGGCTGACAGCAGCCGACCGTACGCCGAAGCGGTTCCAAGCCGTGCAGTTGTAGGGAAGGGCAAAATCGGAGTCGTGGGTCGGGTCTATCAGCAGAGCCGAGAGGACGCCTTGTTCTGTCACAACAGTGTCCACTGTAAAGCGATCCAGCGAGCCAGAATCCAGCACCCGTTCCCCCCACGCCCAGGCCTGTTGCAAGAGGCAGGAGAGAGGGAGAGAGAGAAAGAGAGAGAGAGAAAGAGAGAAAGAGAGAGTCAAGAGCTGGGACAGATGGAGGATCTAGGAGCCACGGGTGCTAAGACAGAGCTGACTCTGAGCCAGCGTGTGCACGATATTTGCTGCACGGAGGCCGCTTTAAAAAATGCCTCCATATGGCCCTTGCCATCACGTGGCTGCAAAGACAACGTGCGACAATTCCCTGTGCCAAAGAAGAAGGCATTTTGCCATGCACCTCTACAGACCTCCTTTGGTGATCTCTATCGGGGGGGGGGAGAGAAAACCAACTGATCTGCGTGGTCAGCAGCAGCCTGAGAACATCTTGCTACACTATTTAGAGCGCACCGCCATGCCAAGCATTGTGGAGTCACAGGCTGTTCACCAGCCGCATTAAAAAAGCACAGCGGTCAAGAAATCACCCTGGCTTTTGTGCATCCTGCAAATGCCTTCTAGTTGCCTTGCTGGCTTGCGAGAACACAGTTTTGTGTGCTACTCAGAAACGTTTGAGCCTGGAGACGGTGAAATGCCATCTCTCGGGTTTCTTGAACCACAGCATCACATGCACTTTTCCAGAAAAGATTTCCCTCGTGCCAACACGGTAGACTCTGGCTGGCTCACGCATGAGACAGAATGAAGGAACGGAACGGAGTGTACCATTTCAAACTGCGGATGGGGAAATCACATTCTTTAATCCTCTGCTATTTGGGGGGGGGAGAATCTCTCTGCAAGAGGATATCTCGTATATCAAGGAGTAGGATGTGAAGGGTTCCCCCCCCCTTCCTTTTCTAGGAAAAATACACGTGTGCTAAAGTGCCTTGTTAGAAAACGACTTCAACGTATGTTGTGTCACAGAATGGGAAGACCTAGATTTCCAGCACGGCAAAAAGCTGCAGAAATATATTACAGCTTGCCGCAAGACTGAAAAAAGTATATAATGCTTATTTTTTGAAGAATAAACAGAATGCCACCGGAAGATGGTGATGCATGTGAGATACGGCTCCTTTTAAAACTATTCTCTGCTCCAAAACATCCTGTTTATTATATCCTGTTGTGGGGGACGGTGCCATCAAGGCAAGCGCTGACTTAGGGCAACCCTGTAGGATTGTCAGGGCAAGAGTACAGAGGTGGCTCGCCATTGCCTGCTTCTGTGCAGCAGACCTGGGAATTCCTTGGTGGTCTCCCATCCAAATACTGACCAGGGCTGACCCTGCTTAGCTTCCAAGAGCTGACGCGATCAGACCAGCCTGGGCCACCCAGGTCAGGGCATACCTTTAGATGCCACCTCCCCAAAGGCACCTTGTTCTTTTTGTTTCAATTCCCCCAATTTCATTCTAATTTCCCTTTCTTTCTTTTTTTTAAAAAGGATTTCTTTAACATTTTGACTTTCCTGTGAAAAAGGTGCGCGGCAGAAGCGTTAAAAGGATTTTCAAAATGTACACGAGTTCTGAAGGCGGCTTAGGCAACGTCCTCTACACATTTATAACACTGTGGGTCTTAGGGGCTAGACACTTGAGGTTGCAGCTGTTTCACCACAAACTCTCCCAGAATGCTGGCCTCGGTTCCCATTTCTGGACTTGGGCCATTCACACGGGGGGGGGGGGGGGAACACGACACACACGAC